ATAAAACTCTGAAATGCGGCCTTATTTTGAAATTCTAATAAAAAATGGCAGACTTCCTGTTGTGTTTTGGCTATGGGTGCAAGAGGACTAATTGTAGGTCTTTACCTTGTTAATATACATACCCAATTTTAGTCATATAGCTCCAACTGATATCTATGGAAACCCATTTTTCTCAAATATAAAGGGGGCGCTGTTGAGCCATTTTGTAAATTTGATCTGTAAAACCACCGAAATATCAAATTATTCACCAGGCCTGATGGGCATGCCAAGTTTGGTGAGTTTTGAGGTATGTTCAAGCCTCCAAAAATGTGATTCATTGCAGAAAAGAATGAAAGAATAATAATTCCTTACATTTCAAGAGGGTCCCCGCTCCAAGGTTGTTGCACGGGGCCTTAAAAAAATCTCTAATCAGCTGTTTAAAAGGCCCATCTAAAAATATATGTTATGACAAAGCTAACCATTACCACAGCTCTAACGTTACAGTCCATCAACCTTTGAGAAGTGCTGACATAGAAACAGAAACAAAAGAGATAGGGTGTAGTCTTCTGCCATCACTTATCACATGTCAGGAATACTTCTCGTATTAACTGGAACATTGTGTTTGCAGGATAATTAGGTGACCATCCACACACGTTGTATTTGAGCTCATAGATGAGCAGTAAATGATCATGGTCACAGACTATTTTTCTTACTCTTTCCTGAATATCATCTCCAAAAAAAAGACTTTAATTCAAGTTCTCTAGAGGGAGAAGAATCCACTCTTACCTCTAAATTGTCCAAACCAGAGAAGCATGCTTGTCTTTAATTTGCGCACAGTGGGACGCCTGATAGCTTCAGAATTAAACTAAATAAAGTCACTTTGAGTCTGTCACAGTCATGCATATTTAATTGATATGAATGGTGTTACTCTGTCCACAAAATAATTGACAATGCAGCAGTGCAGCTGCAAATTTATGTCCCCAAATTCTTGCGAAACAGCACCAACTCTCCGAAATCATCGCAGGGCATATGGGAGTCTCCTAAAGGCTTCACATAAACTTCGGCATCCAGACATCAGAGGTCGTATTTGGAAGATTTCTTGTAACCAGGAAGGTTTCTCATATAATAACCGGGTATCTTCACAAGTATCAGAAAGAAAAAAACAATTTCCCTCATTTGATCTCTCTTTCTTTCTACAGTCTTTCTTATTTCCCTTCTTCACATGTTTATTTTATTATATTGCATGGTTGTTAGTTCTGGCAATTTGAATTAAAATGCCAATAAATATATCTTTGAAAATAAAAACTCTCGAGAGTGCTTCAATTATTTCTGGGCTTTGGGGCACGGAGCGTGGCAGGCGCGGTGGAGCAGCGTTAAAGCTGGAGCACTTTGTGCTTGCAATCGGAGATGAAGAGGCTATTTGTCTGTGTAGTGTGCCGAGCTCTTATCAGGGATTTGTTTGCGGCACAACTTAATTTGCATAAATTTCTTGGAGAGTAAGATGAAAACTCAGAGCACTTGGCTGGAGGAGGAGGAACAGATTGTCCTCACAACGCACATTCCGACAAACGGCTCACATCGTCGTCGTTCTGATAAACCTGGAATAAAGCTTAACATCTAAATATCCTGTAAGAATAAACAGAATGATCTCATAAAGGACTGGACTGCCTGTGTTTGTCGCCCCACTGGGTTCCTCTTTTGTAATGTGGTATTCCCTTTGCTAAAGACAAATCTCTGCATTTAAAGCTTCACTGAACAAAGCTAACGTTACAACTAAAAGAAAGAAAAACAGATTCTAAAAGTATTGTGTTTGTGTGCTTCTAAAGCCATATTTATCTTATTCCTCTGTATCATAAAGCTTAATTGAACTAGTAAAAACCATTGAGTGTAAATATTAATGGATGAAGCCTGAGTGACATCACCCATCTGTTCCTGCAGGGGGCGCTGGAGTTGGAAATCTTGTCAATCCACCTGTCAGTCATGTCAGCTAAGTGCCGAACTATGGATAACACGTAGCGTTTTCAAAATCCAAAGGGAGGCGTTTAAAATAAAATGCACCCCCGTACAGTGTGTATCAGTGATGACCAAAACTAATCAGACCTTTTTCGATTTTTGTATCAGGCTGTAAACATGTTTAATTATGCTGTAAAAACTTCTTTTTTGCCTGTGGTGTGTATTTGACTTCCTGTGTTCCTGGAGCCAGCCTCTAGTGGACACTCAATGAACTGCAGGATTTTGCACTTCGTCATTGGCTTATTTTTCAACACCGAAGGTTGCTGCTTGGTAAAAACACATTTATGAGCCACACGGTTGCAGTGGGGGAAATGTTCTCTCAATACCGAGAACACTGAAATATCTTTTGACTCAATTAAACGCACAAAGTTCTGCCGTCCCAAAATACTTCAAGGCACATTCACACCAGCTAAACATGAGTCATCTTTATTAAGTCGACATTAAACCAAGATAAGAACTACATCTTTGTCTATATCACAGCTGTGTCTATTTTTGGTTTCACCACAGAGACTTTAGTGAAGTACACATTCACAAGTACCAAAATGTTGCTCACAAACAGTCTGAGGACGTTCAATTTGAACATTTTAAAACGAATAACTAGTCGGTTTATGACTGAATATAATAAGTGTTTATAAGGGTATGAGAAAAAGATTTGTCCACCACAAAGTGTCCTGATAATCTTTTTATTAGACAACCTGAAGCGACAGCTGGTGCAAAATATGAAGCAGACATTGGCAAAATGTTGTAAAGCAGTATTTGATAATAAAAAAGTTATCTAACCCTTTTTATGGTCTTCATTTAAAGAGCCCATATTCTGCCCTTTTTGGGGTTCTTATATTTAACCTATGTTCCTACTTTTGTACGTTCACAATAGCTAAAGTCTGAAAAAAGTGTCTGTTTGCACCTTAGCACTACTGTGCTACAGCAGGCTACGGCATATCGTGGGCGTGCTACAGAAGTTAACGGGCGTGCAACGTGAGCTGCTGGGCTTGCCACAACGAGCCAATGAGCTTAGATCAGTGATATCACACTAACAATGACGTCGGACTGACACATTTTTATCGAGGGGGGCTAGAACCGGGCGTTACATGCAGCTAATGCTACAGCTAACAGGAGGACGTAGGAGAAGCCGCGTTTCCACTGACTTTGAATTTTTGCACATAGATGTGTCTAAACATGCACAGGACACTTGGAAAACACACTGAAGAGCATATAAAACCAGAAAAAGAAGAATATGGGACCTTTCATGACATCAATGTCTGATATCAAGTTCAGACAGTTAACAGCTTTGCAGCACGTCCAACACATGTCCATGTTTTTGGATGTACATTTTAACAAAAGTTAATTTTGAAACTCCTTATAAAATGTCTTTTAAAAATGATATTCAAATTCTGTATCATTCAGTCTCAAATGATTGAATAATGTTGAAGCAGACTGTGGTGAAACCTGCTGATTCAGCTGTTTTTGGGGGCATTTTCTTATTTCTTTTGATACAAGCATCGTTTGCTGGCTGTGTATAAATGAATTTTAAATTAAAAACTGGTATAAAACAGAAAACAGACTTCAATTTGCAGATTAATAACCATCAAAATATCTTAAAATGTAAAATTCTCAAATTATGTCATAAATTGATTTTCAGGTTTGTTTCCCCCTCTAGTGTCTGGGACCGACCCCCCAGAGGGTCAGGAGCCCCACTTTGAAATACACTGTGCTAGACCACCCTTGCTCCACTGCAAAGGTCTTTGTAAAAGAGTTATAAAAGACCGTCTAGTGACATAGCTCTGGTCCTTTAGTAGGTGAATCCCTGCCAGTATGAAGCACAAAAATCAAACGTTAAAGGGATGAGTGATATCAGGGTAAGAATGTAATTCTGATTAATCGAGCAGCCCTGATACCAAGTATGGACCTAGGTCTGGATGTAAGATTGAAGTAGTTAAGTTTGACCTTCATTGTAACTTCAACGTGATCAAGTCCTAAAATGTTTGCAGCGTTTAAGTCAAGTTGAATTAGTACTTTTGTTCAAAATAGACTAAAAGTAATCCAAACATTATTAATGAAGCTCACAGAGCAACAATCGTGGATCAATCTGCCGCTGAAGAAAAAGTCCTCAACCAATAAACTATTGCAAACCTTTGAAGCAACATGAGCTGAAACTTGGTGTTTGCATGTTTTCAGTCGTTGCTGAGCCTTTTCAGGAACCTACATGTTCCTGGAACCTGTTCAAGAAGAAATGTTATATCCTATAAGAGAAACAAAATTCACTGGTAGCTGGTCGCCACAGAGAAGGATAATACAGTCTGAAAGTGTTGGTCAAAGTTTACTGCTTTGTTGATGAACTTTTTAAGACACTGGAGTGACTATAACATGGATCCAGTGCTGCCGGAAGAAGTAGATATACTCTTAATTTATCCCCCAAATGTTTTTTTAAGCGACCTGTCCAACAGAGGATAAATGACCTCTGGTATAAACTGTGACATGTAAGACTACTCTTGCATAGTCAGTATGTACTAGCCAATCAGAGACAGAGTAGAGAGGGTCATCTCTTCACCATCTTAGGAAGGAAAATGGAGCATCCTACTGAATATTGTCAATCAATGGAATCAGAGGGATTTAGAAGTGGGCATACCATATGGAGACTGTAAAATATTGAGGGGTGTAGTCCATGAAACCAAGCGATGTTGGTCCAGTGTATTACTGACAGCAATGGGGGCTTCATGTAGGGAAATCAGACCACATTTTTAATGATCCTTTCCTGTAAAGATTTTCAAAAAGTGAACAGATGACAGTGTCACTACGTGGCTCTGTCCTAGTAACTGAATCCCTGGCAGTACGGTGCAGTTCTGTAATCGACCCTGACTTCAGTGGGGAAGGGGAAATGGGTTCACAAGAGTTAATTTATCCTCTGGGAATTCACTGAATATCCCATAAACACACACTTCCTGGTTGGCTGTGTCCAGGGGAATGGGGGAGGGGGGAGGCAGCAGGAGAAAGAAAACAAAAGCCACATGTAGATCCAATAAAGTCTTTTTTATCCATTTTCCAATAAAAAATACATTCATACAGAAACTATTTTACAAAACAATTTCAAATGAAAAAATCTTGTTATGCAAGGTAAAAGAAACAAAAATAGAGCCTCATATTTGTATCTCCGTGTTTATCCAATAAAGATTCTTTAGCTAAAGATAGGGTGTCTTCGCAGGTCTTTGAAAAACTGACGGAAAAAAAATAATAATAACATGGCAAATAAAAAAATAAAAAAACTTAAAACTTAACGGGCACCAGAATGCAAAAAAGGAAAAAGAAAAAGACAATTCAAGTGTCCAGAACAATTCACGTCTGAAAAGTCGTTTTTTTTTTGTGTTGTTTTTGTTTTCTTGAAAGATGATAGGCCACAGGTGTGTATGCAGTTTTTAAAAAAACGAATATTAGCTCAACCATTCTCCGATAACAAAAAAAAAAGACAAAGATGTTACAGAAGCAAATGAAGTCGAAAGGAGATCGTGATTATTTTATACAACAACTCTTCAGTCGCTTTGTCTTTTATCGGTTCATCCTTAGAAACACACTGCACTTGTTTTTGGTCCCATACCCTTTCAAAATAGAAGCTTCCTTTACAAAAGTCTCTTTTTAAAGTTTACAATTTACATTTCTTTGCAAGTTTTCTCAGTGTTTTGGACTTCAATGTTGGCCGGGGGGGTTAAATGTACAGTTGTTGAGCTTCAACAAGGCTGCCATGAGGGTCAACTACCGAGTCACAGGCAACAAGTCTGATGACCCTTAAACAAAGCCAGACCCATACAACACAACCATGTGTCTCACTGTTCAACAACACGTCGTCCAGTAAAGATCACTCACACCAAATGTCCTTTACAGAAATGTTTTTAAAAAAAAAAAATGATCTGGAGTTTGTCCAATGTCCAATGTTGGGAGTGAAAGGATTCCAATCAAAGAATAGAGCGTTATATCAACCCACAGAGGAGTGTGTTGAAGTCATGTACAGTAACTGAAGTGAAAAACATGCATAAAAGTGAAGCTGACATACATCAGGTGTCCTCTCAGTTCACCCGCAGGCACAGACAGAAAAACCCTCTCGGCCCTGCAGCGCGGCTCAGCTGAACTGGTCGGACCGGTTTTTGGTACCCTTTAGTCAGATCACGGGTTGTTTAAAAAACCAGGACTGAGTAAAGATAGGGACTCACCCTGAGGGGCGGAGACCTACCACAACACACGACATGAAAGAAAACCGACTCATGATTGAGAATGTTGTTATTGTTTGGAACTGGAAGCTTTTTTGGACACATCGACAAAGAGCACTGACGACGTTCTGTTTTGCAGTTAATCAACCAATTGGACCGAGCGTGCCGCATTTCATTGAGAACATATTTCCAAGACTCTGTACCGTCGACGGCATGTTGCAGTCCATCTGAAGTGCACCCCACACCTCTTTATACTACACAGTAGTAAATCTTTCCAAAAAAAAAAAACAACGATTACTAAGTGCTCCACATTTCTGCCTCACACCCGGGTCATTTTTAAAGAATAGGATTTGATAAAGTTCTGATATATTCAACGACAAAAAAAAAAATGCACAAAGATGTAAAGATGGCAGTCATTATGAAGCTGATAGATACTTTTTTCTTTCTTTTATTTTTTTTTGGGGGGAGTGTAGAGGAGTCGGTCGCGAGACGACGAAAAGGGCAAAAAGGTGCGACTGTATGGATCAGAGCCTTTATAAAGCAATTCTATACCGCACTAGTGCATTTGCAGCCCCCCCCCCCCCCCCGTTTGGTGTGTTTCTGTGTGTGAGAGAAGGATCTATTAAACAGGACAAGGCCACTTACATAAGGCATCAGTAAGGTTAACAGTGCATTTACAGATAGAAACTAGAGAAAAGAGCAAAAAAGTGACGGATAAAAAAGAAAAAAAATCCCCGTGATCAAGACAGTCGCCAAGCAACAGTGGTATCCCCCAACTTATCAGGAAAATTTGAAAAAAACAAATGACTGCCTTATGTGTTTTTGTACAATACTATGATATTGAGTAACATGAAAAGTAGCTGCTCTCGAATGGAATTTTGTTGTCCTATAAGCAAAGAGGTGAGCGACACATTCCCCCCCCGGGATCCCATGCAACTTCTGTTAAAATGGCGATAACTTGTTTGTGAACAACCATTGTTTTTTTTTTTTGTCTTTTTTTTTTTAAAGATACAGAGCTTACACAATGGACAACAAAATGAGCTTTTTTTTTTTTTTGTATAGCGTGTATGTTTTTTGAGACAGGCTACATAATACATTGCACATTTAATAGCTGCACTAAACAAAACGACCTCTCATGTTTGAACGTGGAGCTGCAGTTCCTCCTCCGCGCAGAAAGGGGGCGCTCTCTCTAGCAAAACCAGGCCCCGCAAAAAACAACCCCACCTTTTCTCGCCCCAACTCCACAGCCTAACAGACTCAAACAGCACAAACACATCATCCCCCGATTTTTTTTTGTTGTTGTTGTTGTTGCTTGCATTCATTCTCAGTGAGACCACATCACGTTTACCCCCGCCCGCCGCCGCCCAAAAACATCATCCTCTCTATGTGTCATTCACTCGCACAGTTCCACAATGCAAGCTCCATCCACTCCATAAAGCCAGCACAGGCATCCAGTCGCAGGCACTCACAGTCCCCATGCGCTCAGGCATACACACTGTCATTGGAGGGGAAGGGCACCCCTGCAGGAGTCCCCGTAAATCCTCCTGGAAAAAAGCATTGAACACCATACAGAAGAGTCTCTTTCCATCGTCTCCAGCCCAGATTTTTTCCAAGTCTCTCTCTCTCCTCCTCCGTTCAAAAAAAACCTTTTCAAGAGCAATCTCCACAGCAAGGTGTTGGAGGCACTAAGTATGGTGCAAATAATAGCCTGCGTCGCTTCATCTTTTTCCACTGACTGGAACACGGCCGTGCCCCTGTGAACGCTCCCAGGACACACCGGCCTCCGCTGATCCCCTACAGGTCAGGACAATCAACCAGAATCATCCCCTCAGAGCTCTGAACACCGAGGCCATCTTAGATGTGCCTCTTCATGTGAAGTGCCAGGTGGTCAGAACGGGAAAAACACCTGAGGAAGAAGAGAGGGAGAGAGAAGATTTAGCATGTTTCTGAAATGTTAAAACATTGTTTGTACCGCTGTGGTCACTCAAACTCAAACTTCAAGTGTTATTTGACACAAGATGCACGCTGAGAAAAATTTAAAACGCTGCTTTTTCTGAGGATTCACGGGATTATTGCGAGATGGTTAGTCGTGCTGCTAGCATCTTAATCGACTGTTAGAACAAACCTAGAGTACATTTGCAGCCATTTGTCACCTGTTTGTTGGATACTCTGAAGGAGTTTATTCAAATATTAATACTCTTATTGTACGTATTATTGTCAATATTATGTTTACTGTAAGGATTCTCAAAAATAATAATATTTTTTATAAAAGTTGTTGAATGCAAACTGTTGTTGCAGCGGTTCATTCTGTTTTGTTTTTTTTGTAAACTCCCAACCACTAGGGGGCATACATTATAATCTACCTCCAGACGTTCCACTTTATCTTTTATGATTAAACTAAGGCAGAAAGAAATGTGCATGTCAGAGATGCACCGATTTAGAGAATCAGAGCCGATACCGATACCGACGTTCAAAATAACAAAGCTGATTCAAATATTTGTTTCATGACGTCTTGTGGTGTACGACTCTCACAGTGTCACCATGTTCTCTCATGTCATGGTATGACAATGAAAACAATTCAGACAGGTGACTTCATCTGCCCAATAATAAACCCTCTTCTCTGAACCAGCAGTTAGGTGGACAAGATGCCAGCATTAAATCGATTTGGCACAACATCGAGTCAGCAGGGTCGATATCAGCTGATACCGATGTTAAACCGATGCATCCCCAGTTCATATATTACCCGACATCATACCCTGATTATGATATTCCAATATATTGTATTATACCCCATTATGTATTGTAATGTGCATCATGTTGCCAGGTTATAGTAAAGGCAGTTTTTTTTTGCTCTAACAGATATCTTAGCAGTTAAATATTCTTCCTTGTTTCAGGTCTAAGCTTCATTTTCTTCACTCTTTGGCTCTCATGATAAGAAAAGAAAGAGCTATAGAGCTTCTCTTTCATCCATTTATTAGTCATGATATCACATGAGAGATGGAAAAACCTTCATCATGAGGACATTCTGTTTCTCACTGCCTGCACATCTCATCTCATCAACAAACCTCATTTAACCCTTTGTGCTCAGCCCTCGGTTCTCTGTGAACCACTTGACCTCTTGCCCCCCCCATTTCATCAGTCCAATCCTTGAACCTCATTCATCCCTCCACCTCACGTGCCCTTATTAAACTCATTTGCACACTTAAGTGGTTTGCTCTACCAGTGAAAGAGCACCAAAGCTAAAACAAATATATAAATAGTACAAATCAGGGATTTTCTGTGACGTTTGGAAGCTGTTTTCTTTGGGGTTCTTTAAAGAGGGCATGAAATCAACAATTTACAGCGCTTAGTTTGAGATATTTTATTTTGAAAACTAAGTGTGGCTGCTTTTATTTTGAAAAAAAACCCAATCATCTTTCCATGTGTTTGGTCACCTAGGTAACAGTATACGTCAAACGTTTTTGCTCCCGTCACACACACACACACACACACACACACACACACACTCACCTGTCGCAGTGACTGCATTTGAATGGCTTTGCTCCGGTGTGCTTCCTGAAGTGTCTGGTGAGCTCGTCGCTCCGTGCAAAGCGCCACTCGCAGCCCTCCCATGAACACCTGTAGGGCTTCTCACCTGTTGGAACACAACCATGGTATCAAAATGTCAACACGCGGCAGGAAGTGCAAATCGTATCGTTGTCAAAGAAGATGATCTAAAAACATGGAGGAACAACAGTCTTATAACCTCTGCTAACTTGTGAGCCGCCATTTTTTGTAGTTTTTATGAATGAAATACAAATGATCCGCTAGTTTTTGTAGTTTTTTATGCACGAAATAAGTCTGTAGACATGATTAAGTCAGAATAAGTTTCATTTCATTTCAGTTTTGTTTTCATGTTTAAAAATATAAAGTTGTTAATCCTGATTTTGTATCACTGAATAGACATAATTATAGTCTTTTTTTCTGATAACCTTTTAACTGAATAACATCCATTGCTGTCCTTTTCAATTATTTGCCATCTGACAGGCTCCGTAATTGCCGCCTTTTAAGACCTTCAATCAAACCTTCATTCTATTTGACATTTTAAAATGCGACCTCTCAAATTATGAAGCCAATATTTATCGTTCTCGCTAATCTTCAGAGGCTTTACACCGCGCTGATTTCAGGGAAACAGGATCCCGCTCCAGTCAGGCTAAGCAGATTGGGCTGACTACTGTAAGTTGGAGAGGAAAAACAACCTCGTGCCTTGTGGGTCCTGAGAGCTCTGGTATGCAGCTGCTGCGAGGAGCTGCTCGAGTAGACGGGCTTATGTAATGTGGGGAGAGAGAGAGAGAGGAGAGAGAGAGCTGCAGGAGAAAATAGAGACTGTTCCTAATGATCCTCAGGACCATTAACCATGTGGCTAACATGGACAGCCAAAGGATGCGAGGAATGCGACTTCCCCTCTCCGTAATGGTCGGGCACAGCTTGGCAAGAGGTCAGAGATCACAAAGGGAAACCGCTCACATTTGAACCCCGGGGACCCGAGCAATGCAAATGTCACATTCCCATAATTCCCTTTTTTTCTGGTGAGAGAGCGAAAAACGGGTGAGATTCTGAGCGCTTTTTCCCATGGTGAAATCTGAGAACTGTTGATTTGTTTGCAGGATCCACATCCTTTGGGTGCTGTCGGCCACAAAGGAGCCTCCTCCCTCCCCCTCCCGTCTCTCTCTCTCTCTCTCTCTCTCTCTCTCGGTCTCCCTTCCCCCCCTGCATGAAGTCACGTTCTTCTATGTGAATTAGGTCACAGTTGAGGGCATTCCTCCTGACAAACTATTCAAAGTATGTGGGAGGGATCTCAGCACTTTAAGCAGGAAAACAACACCTGACTGTTCACTTTTTTTTAGGTTTTTTTATCCTGATATGAGTTGATTACGTTCAACACAGTGATTTTAAAAACATGATGTCATGAATACAAAAACCTGTCCGGCCGTCTCTTCCTCTTTTTAGGAAAATAAAGGTCATGACATTTGCATGCCAGCAATGACAGCATTTCCCCGTCCAGGCGTCCTTACCTGTGTGCGTGCGCTGGTGTGCCTTGAGGTGGGAGCTTTTGGTGTACACCTTCCTGCATCCGTTGAACTGACACCTGTGCACCCGCCGCCTGCCGTCCGGAGACGCCTCGCCGCTGGTCAGCCCCGACCTCTCCCCCGTCGATCCCCCAGTCCTTATTTTCCCCGGCGAGTGCAGCACAGTCTGTATCCCGCTCCACGCCTGGGCCGAGCCCGAGCCCTCCTTGCCCAGCTCGGGCGAGGACGGCGGCGTGCTGCCGATGGCCGAGCCCAGGTCCTCGCCGCTGCCGCCGCCGCCGCCACCGCCGTCGCCCAGAATGTCAGTCAACGAGCCGGCGGGGAAGTCGAGGGTCGGGGAGAGCTCCTCGGAGCTGTCGGACGCCTCGCTGCTGGCGTCCGAGTTGAAGCCGCCGGCGTCCAGGTGCCGGATGTCCTGATTGTCCTCCTCGTCCTTGATGCGGGGGATCTTAGGGTCCTGCTCAGGCGACGACTTGTCCCCGCAGGCGAGCATCAGCTTGCTCCACAGGTCCTCCTGGCTCTCGAACTTGAGGTCGGTGGTGGCGGAGACGTAGGGCTCGCTCTGGAGGTACCTCTCCAGCTCGAGGCATGTCTGCGTGGAGAGAAGATTGAGATGGAAATGAGTTCGCCTGCAGGCCTGAAACACAGCGCGTTCAATTCAAACTGGAAAGTCCCTAAAACACCCCCCTAAAAAAAAAAAAATGTTTTCAAGAGGAGCACACACGCTGGCGTTCTACTATCCTCTGTGTTTATTCTTAGCAGCAGCAGGAAGTGCTGTGACACTGTACCACTGCTGGCCCTTCTTCCTCTTTGCCTTGCAGGAACGAGGAGAGACACAATGTCCTATGCAGAGGATAGTCGAGTGTGTTCTAAGGGTGCCCTCTGAGGCCACATCAGGGAAGATTACAAGCACCACATTTCCTTCTGAGAGCATGCAAAGAACAACGCTGTCTGTGTGCGACTGTGGCATAGGTGTGTGTTGGGGATTGGTCATGAAATTTACATATGCTACAGAACACCCCCCCCGTCCCTGTTGGGTTAGGGAAGTGCTTGTAGATCTTTTAAAATCGATCAATTATTCAACGTAATGTGGATTTAATAATGCATTCGGAAAGGCATCGCTAGAAATAACATCGCACACCAGGGAGCCTGAGAGAGAGGAGGGAAGGTCTGGTTCATGGGGGGTCCATAAAAAGGCTCGGCATGAATACTGCAAGAGTACCGCTGTGGATTGTGGGCTTCTTCTGAAAAAGGAAGTGAGAGAGCACTTCCTCAACCCATGGCTGCAGTCGGAGAGAGAGCACAAGGCCAGATACGAAGGCCGCTAACGGCACGGTGCAGTTTCCCCTCTAATGAAGTACAACTTCACAGCCAAACGTTGTTGTTTTTTTCTTACAATAGCACTGCACAGAGCGCCTGGTGACCTCAGCTCTGGGGGTCACTTGATAAATCTGCGAGATGATTAGCAAGTTAGGTAAGAGGGAAAGAAAAAATCTGGCTTTTCTTAAACCCGTATTAAGAGTTTTAGTTCTTCAAGCCTCTAAAAATATTTTAAAAAACCAGACGTCTGAGATGTCTGAGAAGGGCACGTCCCTCTTTTGACTGCTCCAAACTCAGTGACACAATGCTGTGCAAACCCAGAGGAGTTTAATATGAGCACTACTTTCAAATTAGAGGAGAAGAATATGATCAACAACAACAAAGAAATCATAAAGAAAGAGAGTCCAGAAACATGTCAATCTGTCACTAATCATGTATTTATATAAAACAACAGAGGGGATTAGATGAGCCTTAAGGGGGGGGGGGGGGGGGGGGAAGAGAGGGGGCATATCAGTACAACTTACCACAAACATATTTATTGTGGAAAAATAGGAACACTGAGGGGAACATCGTGGTGATTTGATAATGAACGTGAACACATTGAAGACAAATGTTTCTCGTCAGCAGAGCTGGATAAAATCCCAGGCGAGCTTTAAATGCCTGGGGGGGGGGGGGGGAGTTGGCCCGAAGCCCGAAAGAGATCTAATAGACGACAGAGAGAGACAGAAGAAGACGAAGAAGACTGAAACGTGCTGCCAATTCATTTCATTTCCTAACCCTTTTCGCCCCCCCTTGATTCCAGTATGAAACTCCACTGTTCTGGCATGCAGGGGGGGGTTTGCATTGTCGAGCCAAACTGGAATAGAAATCTCTCTCTCTCTCTCTCTCTCTCTCTCCTTTTATTGGTCTGTCACTCTCTCGTCTGTGCGTGTGTGTTTGTGTGACAGAGCGAGCGAGAGGTAGAGAGAGAGAGAGAGAGAGAGAGAGAGAGAGAGAGAGAGAGAGAGAGGAAGGGAAAAGGAGATACGCGCAAGACGCCGCACAGTTGCTAAACCTGCAACACGGTGTGTTTTTATTTGATCACAATCTGATGCGATCTGCACGCATGCGTTCAAAATATCAGACCACATTTTTGTTCAAGCAAAACCATGATAAAAAAAAAAAAACGACTGTAAGCTTTCAGTGCTCTAAAAACAGTAAAACTATGAGTCCATTAAAATAAGAAGAATATCAGAGTTAGCCTTTAATTAAATGAGTCAAAGTAACTCCAAAAAGTGTAACAAGGTCAATTAAAAAAGTCACTGTCCGCACTTCTATAGTCGAAGTAGAAAAAAAATGTGGAAATATCATCGGAAAATAACAAGAAATCCGTCACTGAGGGAACTTGCATCACTTCCCTTAATAAGGCACGCAGACGACTTTGAGCAGAGAGACCGAGATGAAACTGTTGCACTAAATCAAACGTGGAGTTACGTAAACAACTTTGACATTTGCACGTCCACACACGAGCTGTCACCGGGGCGCAAGTTTCCCGAGATTCCCCGCATTCCCTGCACTTCTACACACAACCATCACGGGGGGGCGATCTGTCAAACTGCGTATTCAGGTGGACAGATTTGAGGGAATAACTCTTTTTTTTTTTTTTACCTGCTGCCAGTACTCTTCCAGAGATGGTAAAGCTGAAAAGTATCCGGTGTCGTGCACAATCTGGAGCTCCTGGAAGATGCTACACATAGGGATGACATCCATTTCAGTCCTGAGGTGCAGCAAGCCACAAGTAGAAGCGGATTCGAGCTTTGCAGAGGAAACGCAGCCAGTTGTGTTTAGAGAGTCGCTGGAGTCTTGGTTGTATTTGCATGGAGAGAGGGAGTCCGGAGTCGTGCGCTTCCAGTGGAGGGTTTTGAGCGTGTGACGCACCGAGAGCGCACAACACTGAACTCTGCAAAAGTCCGTCAGCGCACTGTAAACTTCCCCCCCGATTCAAAATTACAGACAAACCCACCCCCATGTGATTACATTACGTTTCGGCACGTCCACCAATGGGCTCACGGGAGCGCACCGCCCGCCCACCAGACCACCCCTGGCCAATGCCGAGCCGGAGCCGACTCATCCTGTGTGTTGTGGTTGGCGCGCGGTCTGCAGCGACTCCGCTTGCCATTGGGCCAAATCTGCTCTATTTTTAGAGCGCTATATAACCCAGACCAGAACGAGGAAGTCGAGTTTTCAACTGATTCAAATGTGAGTTGCAGCGTCTCCGGAGCGGCAGCAGACACAGGAACAGCGCTGGCTGCTGTCAGCGACTGTGCAGACACGTTTTTAGCCACTGAACAGACACACTTGACTGATGTTATTTCATCACAGATACACTGCGCAATCCTCTTCTCTTTACAAACTATATCTTTTAAATCTAAAAGTCGTAGCACTGCACTCAGCATGTCTCCTGTGTGTGCGAAGCGCAAAAAACGCGCGGCGATAATCTTTCGAAGATGCCCACAAAACCTCAAGGGGATAATCAAAAGATCTGATGAAGTCGTGTGTCCGTGAAACAAATCAGACATCCTCCTTGTCTCCATGGCTGTCCAGAGATTCATGAATCACAAAATGAGTCTCCCTGTGACAGTGGAGACAGTTTAATGAGCGATTAACTTGTAATAGAAATGCCATTAAGATGATTATTCAGAGAAATGCTGTGCAGGTTACTGTAGAGGCAGCAGCTTGAGGTGCATCACGAGGGACAGGTTTGCTTCTGCTTGAGATAATGTATGTGTGTGTGTGTGTGTGTTGTACTCATTCACCTGTGGCTCTCTTTCTAAGAAGCCAGCCTTAACGCCTCCTGCAGCAAAACGTGTTCACTATTCTCGCTGAACATCATGCGACCACATTGCCTGCTCGTTTCCTCTTCAAGTCGAAAAAAGGAACAAGAAGAGACATTTTTTTTAAAAGCGCGGGCCACACACGGTGCACGGTGAGACTTTCTAATATAAGGACCTTAATATAGCTCTCACACAGCTCCAGAATGACATGTTATAAATACACCCTGGCACTCCTCCAGATATATTTATTTGCCTTTTCCTCCTGTTTTGCGTCGATCAGTGCTATACCCCACTTCCCTTCCCTCCTTTACATGAAAGATGCAGGAATATTAATCTGAAGTAATAAGGCCTTATGTTGATTTATGATGAAATGCATGCCCTGGATATGTGCACATGCTTCATGCTTTAATTAGACTGTTAGCTTCAAGGCTTTATATGTGATTTTTCACTCTTAAATATAATATAAATCAAGTATATCCTCTGAAAATAACTCTGTGAGTCATGACTGTCTACAATGGGTGTAACACCCGAGTCCCACTGTCTGTGATGTTTTCAGAGTTTTCAGAGTCCTATCTTCACTTTGTTTACATCGCCCGGACGGCCGGCTGACTCCTCCCCTCACGTATAAAAGTTGTTTAATTGAGGGACTAGAGAAAAGAAGAATAACATACTGTACTCACTGCTTAACTGTGTTTCTAGATCACGCTCATTTCAGGTAAATTTACATGCAGTGTGAAGATACCAGCATAAGAAAGATCGCTAGCATTAGCATGCTAACACAACAATGCACCGCGAGTTGTTTTGGTTTCATGCTGGTGCTCAAGGGCGACATCTGCTGGATCAAAAAAAATTGCATATAAAGCCTTTACCAAAAACTGCATTTGTAAAATGTCATGTCTGCTTTGGAAAAAAAATCCCAACATTTAAAACTAACAGGTGATCCACTCTGCAAAAAGAACCATGCATTCATTTTATCAAACAAGGTCTTCAACTCTCCTGCTTCCCTGAATGGTGCTGCAGTCGCCACTCCACTTTCCAGTGGAGATTCTAATCTCACTACATCAGTCAAAACACTATGACTAATGCTGAGCTATTATTAAGCCCCACTTATGCCTAACATACAGTACACATGAGTAAAAAAAAAAAATACCCATCCAGTTGCATAAGATGTGGGATAAAGTTGAAAATGTAGCAGAACAACAGTGGCATTGATGAGTTAAAGGCAGGCAATGTGACAAACAACATATTTGGAACAGAGCGCCATTGTCTGACCCAATCGGCCCGGTCGAGCGCCTCCACCACCGAGACTCTTTTGTTAGCGCTCTTCAGCTGTGGGCACATTTGCAGCACTCAGCAGCATCACATTCTGTCATGAGTCTATGGGGTTCAGGGAACAGAGAGCAGCACATGGACAGGTCTCTCTGTTGTGACACGGACGATAAGTAAGAGAAGGGAAGAGTTATGCTTCCCCAAAGCGACGATGATTCATTGTTGACCTTTTTTTAAGCATTGTGGAGGCACAATGGAGTCTCTTTCATCAATGCATGTACTGTAACCTTCGGCATTAACGACTTCTTTTTGAAGTGCAACAGGCCGACAAATGAGTTTAGTTTTTTGGGGACTCTTGGTGAATCTTTTGAACTGTTATGTGATGAGAAAACAGACATTTACACACATGCACAGTCCAATATTTCACTCTGACTTTACCCAGACGTTTCCCAGCCAGCCCCCCTAGTATATTTCACAAGGCACCAAACAATGGTCATAAGTGTGAAGTTGGGTTGAGCTGATGTGTGAAAACAGAAGGTTACAGTCAAAAAAAACTAAGCACAGGTTAGTGGTGTAAGTGCAATAATCGTGCATGTGATGAAGCAGCTTCATACTCTTTTCAGCTTGCTATTACGTCTTATCTGCTCTTTTGTTGATACTGTGGATATGTTCAATCGCATGTAGCAATCATATACAGTCATTATAGCGTCGGGTTTGCTTGCCAGCTGTCGTGGATATCTTGTAAAGAGGGAAAGTGTCCCATAGTGAGGTGCACATGTGAACAGGCTACTCAGGAAGATTCAAGGGACATGTAGTCCTGAAACTTTCAGGAGTGCATGTGGGAAAAACAAGTCTATAAAAGTGACCAAAATCACAGCTTTTGCCAAGTAAGGCCCCGTATCCACCTGGTGTTTTTTTCTGGGCGCTAGCATTTTTTTTTTCAGTTGTTTTTAATGGGTAGATAGCAGCAAATTGAAAGTCTTTCAATGTATGGTATTCCCCGTATTTTTGAAGCCTACTGATCGTATCTTGTACCCACATCTCTCTGCTCCGTGTCTGCTCGGGTAATGACACCAATTCATGGTCTCAATTGCAAGTTTTAAGTCTCCTTCCAAACAGTTTGCAGGTTTTTTTTTTCATAAATTATGGTCGCGTTGAGAAAAAATACACCATGAAGCCCTCAGAACATAAAGTGATCAACAGGTAGCACACAGTGGCCGACAAAGATAGAGGTGTAGGCGATGTAATGTATTCACTTTCATGTATTTTTATAGCTCTACATTTTTCTCTAATGAGTTCCCAAATGAAACTCGTGCCATATGTATCTGAAGCCCCGCCAGCTCCCGATCTCATCAGTTAATAATGCTAAAGTGACACTTCTGTTCTGTCATCACTAAAAAAGCCTTTTTGTGCTCCGAAACCCACTGTCGTCAAAGCGAATCAAATTCCTGCATCGTTCTGTTGTCATTGTAGTAAATGTCATCCAGACGCTGATGCAAAGATAGCATGAGTCATAAGACTGTATAGAATCCGCACACAGCTGCCCAGAAGCAGGGACTGATGTCAATGGGCAATGCACGTGGGATGCATGGTCTGTGACAGGATGTAGCCATGGCAACCAAATAATGAGCATAAACAGCACGCAGATACATAGGCAGCACTGCTCTGGTCAGGGTGTTGTGTTCATGTGAACTGGACACTGAAGACATTGTCTTCTTGGGAATGCATTTGTTTGATGAGTTTGTGAAGAAGCATACCTTTTAAAACATGTTCAAGTATCACAAAAACTCACATACAGAACAAAGGAACAGATCATCCCTAACTTATAAAATCCCCACTTCAGTAACAGATGCAATGATGAAAAACAAAGCAGGGGAGGAGACGCGCATCTGCAAATCATCGGCGCAGATTGCTAGGTGACCAAAAACAGCTACTAAAAAAAAAAAAGCGACTTTTTGGATGCACATTGTGTAACTGTCCTCTATTCAGACGAAAAGCCCTGACCCTTTCTTCTGTTGAGGTGGAGGAGGAGACGAACAGCAAAGAAGAAGTGGGTGAGGGTTTGTGAAATCCTGAGAGCATGACAGGAACAGTTTATGCTCTTTAAAGACCGCTTCACAAGCATGCGGTGCATTTCTGCTGCTTTTTCAGACACACCTGGCACACCCCAAACTTTTGGGAAATGTCTTTCCAATCGAGAGCTTTTCTTGCCAGTCTAATGGTAGGTCTTTAAACTACAGCTCAGGTAAGGCGGGACACTGTTTTTTGGGATCTGATCTTCCTTCCTATTGGACGCATTCAGATGTCAAGCCTGACCTTGTGCTGCACTCAGCCTTTTTTTTTTTTTTTTTTTAAAGATTTATTGTTGGGCAGGGAGAGCGAGAATGAGGATTGACATGCGGGAAGGGAGCAAAAAGTTGGATTCAAACCCTGGGCCACTCGCTTGGAGGACTATTAGCATCCATACGCGCACTACCCACTGCGCCACCAACGCCCCAAAATGAATGGGTTTGAGAGAAATGTGCAGCGCCCAGGACAGTCTATCTGAAAGGCGGTGAAGAGTAAACCAGAGCTTATCTCATAACTAGCTCATTGTACATTAATCACTAAGACGTATTGAGCATGAGGGTGAGTGTGAGCATCCATAATCACACCTTTACAACAATCGTAGCACATAATCAGCTCACACGGGACACACAGTCGCAGTCCGTTTGTAAGAGCGAACTCACACAAAGTGTCAGAGATCAAGCAGAGAAAACAAACTCACTCTGCTGCTTCTCTTCCAACACACACAGTTTAAAAATCCAGCATTAGGGAAGCCATGCCAAAAAATAGTCACTCACTTTTAATTAGCTGTCCTAAAATTCTTTGCACAGCAGATAATAGCCGG